ACTGAACCCAAAACAGAGACTGGGCCCAAGTACTGCCAACGCCCTCACTTCTGGGATTCGGAGGAGCTAACAGGGCTGGAAAATGGAGAGCAAATCCCGCGGCTGACAAAGATGGAGTGTGGGCTGGGGCATAGGCTTTAGGAAAGGCTTTAGGAAAGGCTTTAGGAAAGGCTTTAAGGAAAGGCTTTAGGAAAGGCTACCATGCATCTTGATGCTAGCGGGGGGCATCTTTCTGCCAATCCGGAGAGCTCCCCTTTTGACATTGCTGGTGATACTCGGCATTGATACATACAGGTAAAGTACATACAGGTAAAGGAACGATGATAGGCCAACAGGACAACAAAGACCTGACCGTGGCCCGGCGAAACCAGGCACACCGTCTCATTGTGGAAGCGCCTCGCCACCTGCAAAGACCCGTGTTCCCTTCAAGCTCCCAACCGCCATTTCGTGTATACAATGATGGCAGCAACAGCCTTCTACTCCTTCCTTCGCTCGAAACCCTGCACCATCCGCCCTTGGTTCCGAACATATCTGGGTCCCCTGGTGAAGAAGTGAACGTTTCTTATCCAGCGCTCCGCATCAAACTCACAGATGAATCCAAAATGCATTTTACAACCGCCCCAAAACCTAAACCCATGCCTCTCTGCGAGCCTTTGGCAACTCCGCGAGTCACCAAACCACGATCCTGAGTCATGTGAATGTTCAAGACTTCGCGGCCTAAACTATCATGTCGTTTGGAGTCACGGAAGCAGAAGGGATGCAATGCTCGGATGCCGAGCAAGATGGCAACCATGGAGCGTCTGCGCTGCATACCCTGAGCTGTGAGCCCCCAAACCTTCAAATTTTCTTGTTTGGTCCAGCTGCATGTGACGTTGGGGAGATCGACTCTTCTGAAAGCATCGAGCCTCCCAGAGATTGAGCACCGAGATTCGGGGTTTTGGGGTTTGGCGTACACCCTTGAACCTCATGTCTGCACTGGTGCTCAGGCTTTCGGGTTCCGCTTTCGCAAGGGCTCCAGCGCCTTACACCCTACTCTACGGCTTAGCCGGAAGAGTGGTTCAGCTCAGCCCTGGCAGGAGTTCGGTTTAAGTCTCAAAGTGTAGGGCTTGGAGAACCGGCTCCCCTTGCAGCCGGCTGCGTTTCTATCCTGAAGCCCTTCACATACCCTGAACCTAGCCCAGGGCCCGATTCGCTCCAATCGTTTGGAAGGCAGGGAAGGCTGACGATGGTTTAGGAAGCTCAGGATTGGGTTTCAGAATTTCAGGAATGGATAAGTGTCCCGTCCTTCTGGGCCTTCGTCGCCGTCGAACACCACTCCTGACAAGAGATGGCGCGGAGACACACCGGGAGGTGGAAGAAAGCTCTTCCAGTCTTCTTCGGACGGTGTGCAGGGCCCTATAACCCTAAATAACTTCTCGCATTCCCATACATAAGCTATATTTTCCGGATCCAATGCTTTTTGTGCCTGAGTGAAATCCGAACAAGCAACACAACCTACACCCTACACCCAAAATTCTGAAAAGAGTCTGTCCCCTTCTACTGACAGCAGCTTGTTCGCTGAACCCCAAGCTCCGACCCCTTCAATCGCCTTCAACCCCCCTTCAACCCCTTCCAACCTCCAACCCACTTTTTATCCTGGAAACCCTATGCCACCGGAGCAAAACAAGGGCCACAAAACCCAGCATTAGCTCCTGGGAGGTGCTTCGGTGCCGCATGGAGCCTTGCAACATGAGCTTGGCATCAACAAAGTCCGGCAGGTTTGCAGTTTCCATGTACAATTCCAGAGGTGCTTTTGACCTTCCAATATACCAACCCTCCCTCCCTCCAACCGCTTTGATTAATTCCATGGGTCCGGGAGGGACTACAGTCTTGGCTGAAAGGGTCTGTTGCAAAAGGGTGAGTTTCTTGCAGACGGGGAGCGGCTGCCACGTTTGTTTCTTACGGAATTTGGATTCCTAAATTGAGGGAATGGCTGATAATGGAGCTACGGGCCCTCCTTTTGTTTGCAGGGGGGCTTTTAGTGGCAAGTCAATATTATGTTGTTTGAGAGTAGGAGCCGTGGCGTTCCATCTACAAATGCAATCAGCTATAAAGGTCGCTCGGACCTACACCGGCACCTCAGACCACCACCCTGAACTATACAGGAGCTATATAACGTTCTAAAAACCCAGAGAAAAAGTTACTTATAGTACTGAATCGTCTTTTCGCCAGCCAACGAATGGCTTTACCTCAAACATAGTTGTCAAATGCACAATGCACATGCTCAATCAAAGAGATGAGGCTTCTACAGAAGGCTTAAAACTTCAGGCAGGTTGCAACGCACTGTGCTCGGAAGAGATGAGGCTCGTCCTCAACAAGCGGCTTGTCTGTGTCCAGTGAATCGAAAAACCAAACCTCGAAAAAGTTGAAAAAGGTGAAAACGCGAAACAAGTAGGCAGCTGCCACATCTCATTTTTGTGGCCTCCAAATGCAAAGTAACCTTTGCAGCTTCGGCCAGGTAGGGTCCGCGAACATCAGGCAACCACGTAATACCGCCACCCCCCAACCCTCTGTCCATGCGGATTACTCAAGTACTTCAGGCTGCTGCTCCCTATGCTTCTTGTACTATTTTGTGTACAAGAGTTTTCAGCGCATGTTAAGCAGTCAAAAGCAATCAGAATCGAACGATTCAATTTCGTCTTCGTCGTCTAGCAACCCCAAGCCACAAAGGAGCAGGCTTTGGCCTTTCCGAGATTCCACCTGCGAAAACGCAGGAGGCCCCCCCCCCCAACCTGCAAAAACACCTCAGCTAAACAAAGACTAAGGCCTACAGCGCTTCGAGCCCAGTCTCGTCAGCGATGTGGAGCTTCCAGTTAAGGACTCCACTGTCTGAGATGCCAACCTTCAACGACTCGGCAACACTTCAAGTCAATCAATGCGTTGCGCGCCTGAGGGGTTTAGGCTCAGGGCTTCTTTAAAGCGCATCGCACCCGCTTTGTTCCACGTTCCTTGTAAATGGCACGTGCCGCACCCTACTTGGACCCTAAACCTAAACCGAGAAAAAAACCTTTATATGCTAAAGTGCCGACCGTGATGTCGTCGCCCTTGCCCAGCACTCTGACACATACTGCACTGCACCTTGAATGCGCACACCGCCTGGAAACCTGTCAACACACGTGCCGAGAAATAAAACTTAGACACTCCACCGCGAATCTAGGGCTTAGGACTTAGGGACCAGGGCTTCGCGTTGCAAGCAGAAGGTCGCTCGAGGCCTCAGGCTTTGCGGCACCGCAGTTGGCCTCCGGCGGGCTCACTGGGTTCACGCTCTGGCAACGAGGTCATGCAACTGCTGCCGGACTACTTGCCTGTGCCTGCAAAAGATGAAATCTACATCTACATATGCTGGCGTAGAAACCCCAAGTCTCATTCTCCAAAGCAGCCATGACCAGCCCTTCCAGATTACGGCAACCCGAATCCCGAGACCCAGGGCTTGCGGCATGGCATATCACCGCTTCAGTCGGGGCACGGGAGCTCGTCGATTGCCAGCCGCAACCAACTTTGAATACGCGCCTTCTCTTCATGCCACGCCTGCTTGGGTTTATGCAGGGGTTAAGGCTTAGTGTTGGACCTGCTTTAGTGTGTTTCCCCCAATCAACAGCCAGTCCACGAGCTTGAAATGGCCTTTGTATGTGATTTAATACGGAGCAGTGCACGAAATTGTCTTACGACACCGAGACGATCTGACTTTTGCGGACCCCACTCTATACCCCCGGTGTCCTATAGAGCAGGTCCAACATTACAGGGCTTCGAAGAGGGTGTAAGGTTTATACGGGCTTTTCAATGGAAGCCACAACCTCTTATCTCATGTTCGGGCTCAGACCAGAGCACTTCTTGGGCTCAGCAGCTCTACAGCCGACCTGCTGCTCCCGCTGCCGCTCCTTTTGCTCCACCTGCCCACTGCTTAAGCACTTTAGAGTCTCGGGCCCTGCAGGCCTTAGGGACTTGGGGGGTTTGGGCTCAGTGGACTTTGGGCTTCGGGACACTGAGCGGAGGCGTATGAGGCGAATGCAATGGTCTCGCCTATACATGTGGGTTCATGAATTCGACTTGCAAGTGTTCGAAGTGATTGTTGAAATATTGCGGAAGAGGGCGGAAGACTTCGTGATAGCACGTGCATCTTTCAGTGCTGACCCCGCCATGCTGCTGGTGGGAGCGGATACATGTCCAGACGAATATTATGGGAGGCAATGCCGTCCAGGATGTGAGTCCGAAAGCTTATGAAGAGCAAGTGTAGTTCTTCAATTCGCTTTGCGGGCCAGGCCGATTGAGCGCTTCAGCCCCCCAGCGCGAAAATTCTTCCATATGCAAGCTCGCGTGATGCGAGGAACCCGAACACCCACAAGCCCCACTCAAATTACTTCAGCCCAGACAGAATCAGCCCCGAGCTGGTCCTCCAGGCGTGAGCGCAACGCGGCGGCTTCAGCCTCAGCCTCCTGCAACCGGACGATTTCAGGACCCCCAGATTCATGATCATACATGTGTGAGCACTGGACGCATCTAACACCTCTAGTGATAAACTGGTGGCATGCTGGATTTCAACGGGAGGATTTCGCTGCGATTCTGTCTCCGGCTGGACATTAGTAGCAGCCTTGCGGGCTGCCTGGCTGCTCTCCAGCGCCTGGCATATATACTTTCACTAGATGCTTGAATCAGCAATGAAAATCAATGGACGATGAGCAAGGACTAGCATGAGGCCCGTGGAGGTCGGCTCCTCTTTTCATGGCAGCCGTGCACTGAAGATACGCAAAGGGGTCTGCTCGAAACAGCTTTGCTGCGAGCACAAAAGGGTGCCGAAGATAGTTTAGGGTTTAGGGTTTAGGGTTTTAGGGTTTTAGGGTTTAGAAATACGCAGAGGAGTCGGCTCAGAACGGCTGATGATACTCGGGTCTGCTCCCAGCAGCACTACCGGCTGCTGGGAAACAGCAACAAAAAGGTGCTCCTTGAAGACAGGAAAGGGCTGCTCAGGCAGAGGAGCGCGCCCTCTTCGAGGCCGGCTTGGCCTTCGGGGAACTCGGCTTGGCTCGCTTGGCCTTGGCCTTGGCCTTTGGGGCCTCGGATGTCTTCTTCGGCTGCGCCTCGTCGCTGCGAAGCACGTGTGGGGGCAGCCTGGCCAGCAGCCCCTTCGACACGTCCTTCGTCCACACAAAGTGGATAGGGTACGACCAGCTGCTGTACGTCCGCTTCGTGTTCTTGGCGGAGAAGATGATGCCGGGTCTGTTTCGGATGATCTTGATGGCCTGGCCTGGCTTCTCCAGGTGGGTGCGTCTAGCCAGGTCGAAGCCCTGCGACTTCCATTCAGAGTCGGTGAGCGCGGTGAAGAACGCCCAAGGGCCCGCGGAACCCCAGTCCTCCAGGCAGGTGGGAAGCGCACGCTCCGGCTCGACCTGCGGGACCCTTCTGTCAGCAGCCTGCGGGTCAGCCGCATGGTACAGGCGCGGCGCGACCTGCTGCCAGGTGCGGAAGGCTTGCTCCCGCAGCGTCCTCATCTCAGCGGCACTCATCTGGACGGCCTCGTGCAGCACGCGCAGCACGGTCTCCTTGAGCGTCAAGCGGTACCACTCGTGGAACTTGTAGTACTGCTTCTTGCTCCTCTTGGGCGTCGAGTCCATCCGGACATCGATGTGGCGCACATAGCTGCTAAGCATCGCGTGGATGGTTTGTTCCAGTTGCCACGCAGTGCTCTCATTCTCGGTGACCACCACGGCCTCCAGCTTGGCTTCGCCCGTCGGCCCACCTGACTCCACGGTCGCCGCATCATAGAAGCGAAAGCGATCGACCAGGTGGTTCTCCCTAGTCCTGGGGTCGTCGTGGGTTTTGCCGATCTTCATGACGCCGGCGGTCTCCCAAGTCACCACGTGGACGTAGCCGAGCATGAGGTCGCCGTGCAGCTTGCGGATTGTGGCTCGCACCAGCTTGGGGGCGGGCATGCCCACCAGCTGCTCGTAGAAGCGCCGGAGGTCGCCCCACGGCATCCGCTCGCCGATCTCAGGGGGCTTGGACTTCTCGTAGGGCAGCAAGCCTCGGCTGGCGGGCTGCTCGAGGCTTCCCAAGGCTGCTCAAGGCTTCCCAAGGCTGCTCAAGGCTGCTCAAGGCTGCTCAAAAAGTGGCTGCTGAGAAGCTTCCCCTAGTCTAGGCGAGGCTTCAGGCTAGGCTTCAGGCACAGGCTGCTCAGGGCTGCTCAGGGCTGCTCAAGCCTGCGGCTGGGAAAAACTGGGAAAAACTGGGAAAAACTGAACGGGCGCCCTGCGCGCGGAGGTGCAAGAAAAGAAAACGAAGCCGAGGGGCGGCAGGCCTTGTCCGGCTCCAAGTCAAGGTACTCGTCCGGCAGGTGCTGGCGTGCTCGCTGCCGTGCCCGGGAATGCCCGGCCAGGAGGCCCGGTGCCGCTCCACGTCCTGCGTGGACAGGGGCCTCGGCTGCCCAGGCTCTTCGGCCCCAGGAGGCTCCTGTGAAGCCTGTGGAGAAGCCTCCTGAGAAGCGGCCTCGGACTCCCTGCCCTCTTCCTGCTCCTCCCGCTCTTCACGCTCCTGGCTCCAAGTCTCCAGGCGCCTCAGCTCTTCCTGCTCCCTCTCCGCAGCTTTTGCCAGCTCCACCATCTCTTGCTGCGTCTCGGGCCCAGGCTCCGAGCCACCCAGCATCTCCACGCGCGGCCGAGAGGATGCCATTGCTCACGAGGCCCCAGCAAAAGCCCCCTATACTTTCACGAGTTGCGGGTCTGGCAGAAGGAATGAGCCGCCAGATTTGCTAAGGCTGCTAAGGCATGTCGACCATCCATGCCATCAGCATCTGCTCAGAAACGCTCGGCTTGTCTAACTCTGGTCGCACCCGAAACGATCTTAAATCCTTAAACCTGCGGAGGGACCTCCGCATAGACCTTTTCGATTCTTGCCACGGCTTTCTTCAGCTGCTCGGTAGCCTCAAGGTTCCCCCCCCCCGGTCGGTTTTGCTGCTGGGGACCGCTTGATACTCACAAAGACCCTGTTATGCAATTGTTCTCGCCAGGTTTAATATGGCTGTGAATCAGACCACCCCCAACACTGCTACTTACGTTTGGAATGGCCCCGTGTTACATACATCGTCGCGGCCCCTTAGGTCCGGTGCACATGCTGCTCGCAAAGTGCAGAAGTGTCATGATTTTGGAACCTTTGAATCCTGATGCATCCGAATGCCCTGTATGGCTTTTCATTGGTTGAGTCTACGCTGGCAGACGCGTACTGGGGATTGGGCAGGGTGGCGAATGGCAGTGAAGCTAGGGAAGGCATTTTCTGAGGAAAAAGCGTGACTGTCAGCAGGACCCCGAAGAATGGGCCACGTCCACTTTAGGCCGCAGACTGTTTGACTTTGCCAGTTAATCTGGCCCTTTAATTCCTACAGCGGGTGAGTTTCGGTTCTCCCCAACCTCCCAGGCTCGAACATCAATCTTTTGTCTCTACACCCCTAAGGCCTGAAGCCCTGAACCCTGCAAACCCTCAAGCCCTAAACACTGAAATCTAAAACTTAAGCGCCGTGGCAGAAACCGGCCTCCTCCCCCAGGGCATCTCCTTCAGTGAGGGCCTGGAGGTGATCTGCCTTTGAGCGCAGGCTCTGGGTTCTGAGGATTCTGAGGTCAGGATTACCTTGCCCGGCAAGGTTCATATTGCGTCTTGGAGGGTTCGCAAAGCGGGCCTAGGTTTTTGGGCCTTCGGCTTCTTAAAGTCTTGACGTTTCGAACGTAGGTGTTGGGCTTAGGGCTTAGAGCTTAAGGCTTCAGCAAATGCAGGCTTTGCATGCTTAAGATTTCAGAGTCAGCAGTACGATGCGATCAAGGGATCAATTCGTGAGGCAAGGCAAGGCAAAGCAAAGCAAGGCAAGGCAAGGGAAGGCAAGGCAAGGCAAAGCAAGGCAAGGCAAAGCAAGGCAGGACAGGGCAGGGCGGCAGAGCAAGGCAAGGCAGAAGGCAAGGCCAGGCAAAGCACAGCAAGGCAAGGCAAGGCATTCTTTCTTCTTCTCGCAGATGCATCTGAAGCTCGACGGTAAATCAGTCAAGTCTGAACCTGTCCCGGCCCCGGCATGCCCTGTCGAAATCCGGCATCCCAGGAATACACCCCCAAACACCCCAAAGCCCAAGCCCCAAACACAGGCACCCAAACTCCCGAACCCTGACCCCACATCCTCAGTACCTACATACGGAATTCCTGTAGCATGCAGAGCTGTTTATCCTTAGTTGGGACTTTGTTGAGGGTAGCTTGCAGCGGTCGCGCTCGCAGACTCTAACTCTAACTCTGATGTCTGTTGAAACTTAGAGGGTTCGAAATGCAAGTTTAAGCTTTTTCGACTGAGGGGGCGACGACCAAGGCCGGAATGGGCAGGCTCCCGCGAGGGTAACCACCTTCACTGGCCTTGCCGCCATGCATCAGCAAAACAATGCTCTTGTCATACGCTGGAAGTCCTGTGACTGGTGTAGAAACAAGAACTGAATCTGGTTGAGGCAAAAGCTTGAGGTGGTAAGGCTTAAGTCCTTGGGTGGGTTTCGGATGCAGAGAGACGAGCCAGCTGCCTGCGTAATTTGAGTTTGCCTCTGAAGGTAGTACGGGCATCAGCGCCATGGGCAGAATCCAGTCAAGACTACTCTGAAGGACCCATGACTCTGCCCTTCATGACGCCTTGCATCACCGACTTCGAGTTGACTTGGCTGGAAGACCGAGATTCGGCACGCGAGAAATGACAAGCAATGGCTTCTGGACTTTTCTTAGCTGATCGGGATCGCTGGCAGGATGGCTGCGTGCCTTTGTGTAGCATTCGTGGGCGTCATGCTTAAGTGCTTCCCCGTTCGTGTTGGGTTCAAACAGGGGGGGGAATCTGTGCTTCAGGTCTGCAACATCCTCAACTGTGCCTCCAGGGCGTTGGCGCGGCGAAAGAAAATGCTTGCAGCAGATGGCTTGGACTCCGTTCCAGCACATTCCATCACTTCATTCGGTTGTTGAGTCGTGGGACGGTAGTGGGAGACCCATGGTGAGGGTAATCTTCATTTGGTTCTGCCAATGGCCAGCACGTGCTCCTTTCACGTGCTTGTGCCTGTGCTGTTTCATTGGGGCACCTGGTAAGAAGTTCAAGAAAGCGCGCAGAATGGGCACGGCCGGTCATGCCAAACGTCACTTGATCTCCAAGCACCCCTCAAGCTGAAGCGAAGGATCCCACACATGGCACCCTCGAACCCATCACACCATGACCCAAGAACCCTAAATCATCCCCTTTAAACGACCAAACGGCCAAACGCGACTCAACACAACTTACGATTTCGGAGAGCGTGCGTCACCTTTCCCGTGTTAGCTGATCTCAGCCAAGAAAACTGAACCCCTGTGAAGACCCACTCCCCCCAGCTGCCTCTACGGAGGTCAGGGCCGACGACAACGCAGACCCCATCGAACCTTTGCACACAAGGACTGGTGTGGCGGATGTGGGCTGAAGCTTCAACGTCTTAGGTTTTGTGTATGTGAACTTTAGGAACTGTAGGAGTCGATATGGACGGCCTTGGGCACGAGGCCAGGAGCTATTGTCCAGTTCCACGAAGCAGAGTCCCTGAAAACAATGCACATGTAATTTGAACAGGGTTTGGAACTGCATTTGCACTGTGATTTTTTGGGTACAAGAAAGGTCTAGGTAGGGCGCTACATAGCAGAAGCCAGATGCAAACAAACTGGAACAGCGTTCAATTCTAAACTCAAAGAAGAAACCCTAAAGCCCTGCCTTTCTGGCCCCTAGCTGCTGGCTTCCTGCCAAGCAACTGCTTGGGAGCTCCGGGCAAGCTGCCAGGGAAGATGTCGGTAAAAGAGCTCCGAAGCTCCTAAGGGAGGGGTTGAGGGTGTTAAGTTTCGGTTCCTGTCTCGGCTTTTTCGGGTCTCGCCTTTGGGAGGCACCTGAGAGGCCTCCGGCATGCAGTCCTATCATTGAAAGCACACCTGTCATTGAGCCACACGATTCCCCGTCGGGCCGTCGGGGAAATGGTTCTTCTTGTCGTGGCCCAAAACTTCTCGGACGTTAAACCCTGTTTCGGCTTTTAAGGCTTTCGGTCCCTGCTCTCAATGCTCACTCAGGAGGATTCTAGATTCTAGAGTTCACGGGAACCTGTGCGGACGTTGGTGAAATCACACCGGCTCGCCTTGAACTGGAAACTGGCTGACGATCGCAAGGGGGGGGGGGGGGAGACGGATGAGGGCAACGGGCTGCTCCAAGTTTACGGCGTAGAAACAGATCCCACATTAAATTCCGTCAAGCTGTCACGCTGCACCCGCTTTCGTCTGGGGCCCCTCTGTCCAGCACGCTCCTCTATACAGACAAGTCTTCCGGACGTCGTAAGAATGTTTCGTGTGGCGTGCCTTCCAAATCAGTTGTCGGGCCTCTTTCCCCATGGGCGTGCTGGGGGAGTGACCCTTCCGACTGGTCGGGGCGGGGACCGGGGGAGAGCCAGTTGCCATGGGCCACATCTGCAATTCACCGGAGCAAGAGAACTCCAGCTTCTTAATAAAAGCCGAAGAAGGAAGGGACTACCATTCTTGTGCCTTTTTTGGGGGCCAGTTTTTGACCGGTGTATGCCTCTGAAGGCTTCACGAGCAACGAAAAGGGCACTTACCTGAAGCCACCTGCAAGCCTTCTACTCCGTGCAACCCTCGCAGATTGGAACACATTCAGTAAAAATACGGGTTGGGGCTTATAGGGCTTGGGGGTGCACGAGTTATGAAGAGATGAAGGGGATGCGCACATCCTGCTCGACCCAGGCGTTTCGGGCGAAGGTTGGGCCGGCAACGACTGGCTGCTCCACCTCAGCTGGTTTTTTGCACATGAACTCAGTGGACTCGACGCACCGGATCTCCCTCGAGGTCCTTAAGTTTCAGCCCCTTTTTTCTCTGTTGGCGGCGCCTCGATCCTGCCCCCAACTCCGAAACGCAAAAGCTGAGGCCTGAAAACCCAAGTTGCTCAACCCTTAGCAGAATCTGCATGGCCCAAAAGGGACCCTGGAGCAAGGAGAGTTTTAAGATTTGACAATGTTCCGAAGATCTTATTGATTCACGTGCTCACCAGCCAGACTCTACCCTGTAGCCCGACCCCGGTACAAATACCTCACAAGGCTGCACCAAGCTGATGCCACTAACACAGAATTCTGACGCCACGGGGCGGTCGGGGCAACCTCAGGCGTGTAATCATGAGCGCTCGGCTTCGAAGCATCGGGCTCAGGGATGCTCAGGGCTGCAGCTCGATGGGAGCATGAGCATGCAGATCATCTAGCTTGCTTCAGTATATTCGCCAAGAACAAAAGAAAGCCTCCTACTATCGCGCGTCGACAGCAAATTGCACAAGACCACTCAGACGAAAAGCGATGCTTTAAGAGCTGGGTTCTTCGGATGTGGGGTCGATCGTTGGGACTTAAGTCAGCCGCAGCCGAGCATCAGTGGTGGCTTGACTGGCAGCTGCGGAGCACTACTGTGCCTCCAAACACCTTCGCGAGCTGATGTTGAAGGACTGAACCCTATTTACCTAAGCGTCACTCTGAGACTTGAAAATCTCCGCCCTGGACATGCTTTTTCGAGAAAAGGGCCCGCAGCCAGACTGCAAACTCACCTGGGCCCCAAACTGAACTTCCAAACCCTAGATCTTCCTCCAGCTCCAGCTCCAGCTCCTGCTCCTTCTGCTCCTGCTCCTTCTGCTCCTGCTCCTCCTCCTCCTGCTCCTCCTCCTGCTCCTCCTCCTGCACCTCCGCTGCCCTGCTGCCTCTGCTGCCCTGCTGCCCTGCTGCCCTGCTGCTCTGCTGCTCTGCTGCTCTGCTGCTGAGCTGCCGAGCTGCTGAGCTGCTGAGCTGCTGAGGACAACATTTTTTGGGGGGTCGCGATAGCCACTCGCGCGAAATGAAATTTCCGTTGTTCGGCCAGTCTTTCTGATCAACCCCCGAATCCAACGTTAGACGAGAAGAAACCCGGCCAAGATCATGCAGTGGTTGGGATGGGAAGGAACATGGATCTTGGTGCCTGCAAAACACTACTCTAAACACAACAAGAATCTTGACCCCAAACCTGACGTCTCGATGCCGAGCGGCTTTGGCTAGGAATGAGCGCCGATGATGGCAGCAAGGACATACGAGGCGTGGACGCAGCACCTCGGCTTGAAAAGGGCATCTCAGCTTGAGAATTTCAGCTTTGATTTCGGTGTCGTCGAGCTCGGGGCGGTTTCAGGTTTTGGGCTTAGGGTTTGGCGGTTTAAGGGTTGCGCATTTGAAGGGCTTGAAGTTTGGGGTTGAGCTTCTGCAACCTCTGGAGAAAGCATCGTGCGCTTTCTAGTATTTGATCCACACTACGAGCATGAGTCGACCTCACTTCACGGCCTCGCTGTAAGTTCGGGGCTGAACCTAAGGGCTGCTGTAGATTTATGGAGTCTCAATTGGTTTAAGGTTCAGGACTCAAAGGGGCCGAAGACGAGGTTACGTTGTCCTTCCCCGGTCCCTTCTCTCATGAAAAATGTTCCGGTCTCTCGCTTGACAAAAACGCACCGGGTGTCCTTTCATCTCGAGCACGACCTGCGGCCCTGTTGTCAGCCACATGCGAACTTGAGGCTTGCGGCTTGCGGCTTGCGCGTAGTGCGCCTCCTCCAGTGAGGCCTCACACCTTCGCCTGGGGAGCTGCCAGTCTATGACTCTATGGGTACTGTACAAATCCTGAAACACAGGGCCCGCGCCTGCTTCGCGCGCGCCCTGACACGGAAAATGGCTGTCTTGTATCCAGCGCACCCCCTTTGCCTGTTGAGTCGGCAGTGCCTCTGGACCCGTCCATACGGGTGTCAGGATCCGCCTTCCCGGCCCAAGCCCCACAGGCAGGGCAGCCGCTGGTCAAGACTGGAAGATAAGAGGATTCAGAGATTCGGAAGTCTCTATGAAACCCCATCTGGGCCTTCTCTACATTGAAACCCCAACCGCTTTGGTGATAAGCCCAGCTAGACCCTGTTGTCCAATGTTGTCCATAATCTGGAACCTTTTTCTACCTTTTTCTAGCATCTTCTATACTCTGCTCTGTCACGGCCCTCATGGCCCTCATGCCTCATGGCCCTCACGGCCCTCATGCCGCTGCCTGTCCGCCGAAGCGCGCGCGCACCGCAGATGCCTTGTCCTCTCCGCGCGGGGATTCGGGATTCAACAGCCCTCAAAGTGGGCTTCAGGGGCATTACTTATCAGTACTTACACTTCTAGGGGTTGAGACCCAACGATCCCAAACCTGAACCTTCAACTATTAAGCAAAGCCTTCACGAAGTCCACGGAGGCCACCGCCTTGCCTCTGACCAAGTCCACTCCTCGGCGGGAAGGTCCCCTGAGGTCCCGGAGGTCCCTGGAGGTCCCTGGAGGTCGGTCCCTGGCCCAAGGGCTGGAGATGCTGGGAGCGAAATCACGTCGAGGGCTCTTGCATGTCTTCCAGGCAACTTCCCAGGCAAACCCACTGAAGCAGCGACTCAGATGTCCAAGGGCCTTCTTTTGGTGTGCTAAGGTTTGGGATTCGCAAAGTAGTCTCAAGGAAGAAAGTCCTCTAGACTCGAACTCTTGAGCTTTTGTATTGCTCGCACTTCTGCATTGCAACCAGGACTTTGGCCGTTCTTAAGCTCCACATCATCTCAGCCTCCTCCCGCGGCCTTCAACTAGATTAGCCATGCTGCCGGAGGAGACTCGTGTCATGGCGTTCTTTCGCATCTCTTGGATTTCCTCGGGCTTTGTCGCTAAAGGTGTGGTTTGGGAAGGTGGGCAGGCGGGTGGAGGTAAGAGTAAACGTCTCCGATTTCCTGAACCCTCCGTCGGAGCAGAGCAGCTCCGCGCTTGGCATAGGCACCGTAGCCAGCAGCGCCACCGCTTACGGCCCCGGCGGCAGCCCCGACGGTGGTGCCCACAGCCTCAGGGTTTACTTATGGGCTCGTAGGGCTGGGGCTGATGTGGCTCATGGAGCTGAAAGGGTTTCTATGAGGGGCTTGAAGAGTACATGAGGGGTCTCTGAATGGGCTTGATTTGATGCACTTACCACTCCTCCTCCTCCTCCGCCTCCTCCTCCTCCTCCTCCTCCTACTACTACTACTACTACTACTACTACTACTACTACTACTACTACTACTACTACTACTACTACTACTACTACTACTACTACTACTACTACTACTACTACTACTACTACTACTACTACTACTACACTACTACTACTACTACTACTACTACTACTACTACTACTACTACTACTACTACTACTACTACTACTACTACTACTACTACTACTACTACTACTAGTAGAGATCTTCACGCACTCAAACTAACAAGGAGAGAAGAAAGCCTGCACGCAACTCGACCCTTCTTCTTTTCGCAGGAGCCAAGCATACTATCAGGTTGGAACAAAACATGGTGACGCATCTAGCCTGCTTACATCGGGCTTCGGGCTCAGCATTTGCAGCTCAATGATTATTTTGGGCTTGGGAAATGCACGGGATCTGCCTGGCCCATTGAAGTTGCAACACAAGTGCGGCCTGATGACCAGCCCGGTGCCTCCCCCGATGGCAGCGCCGATGGGGATGGACAGGCCAAAGGTGAACAGGGCAGGGGCCACCTTAGAAGGGCGCTTAGAGCTGGCTTGGAGAAAAAACTTCCAACCCCTGCTCTGGTGACTCTTATGTGTCGGTTTCGGAACACAGGCCACATGAACTTCGTTCCTGACCCCTTCCTTTCAAAAATCCCGCATCTAGATCCTCTTAGCATCCTCTGGCCATCGAAAAGCAATCAAATCGTCGAGGTGCTGTCCTCAACCTTTATCTGAAATCCGTGGCTCTGCTCATGCGAGAGGTGCACACAAAGAAGAGGACAAGCCCTGTTGCTTATCAGTCGCACATAACCAGCTTAAACAGCCAAAACCCCGGCTGTTGCTCTCCCAAGCAACGCCGAGGGCCGCCCCGACAGCTGCGCCGGAGGCCAGGCCGGTGGCGCCGCCAGCGGCCCCCAGGGTCGCCGCGCCGCCTGTACAACAAAATCTGCAAAGGGAGGATTTCGACACCTCAAGGAAGGGCCCAGAGGGCTTCAGGACCCCTTCAGGACCCCAGACTCTTTGGGTTTTGGGAAGCTTATCTCTGCCGCCCCAAAGGCCCTACCTCAACCCCAAACAGAGCACCTGCAATGCCAGCAGCCGTCGCCTGCACGTGACCATCCTGAGCCGACAGGGCTGTTGGATCTTTGGGGATCACATTTGAAGTCTTTGCAGTTCGCATGTCTTTGGGCTTTCAGGACTTGTTGGGGTGTCGGGCTAAGTAAGCGCTAGCCACGCTAGCCGTGCCAGCGCTAGCATCTAAGCCCCACAACCAAAAAGTACGGGAGCTAAGCTACACCACAAGCCCAAAGCCCCATGAACTTCGCATGAACTTCTATCCCCAATCCACTCACCCTGCCGCTCCTTGGCCGCCTGCTTGGCCTTCCCGGAAACCTCCAAAGCCTTGGCCTTGGCGGTGACCACAGCGTTGCTGGCCTCGCGCCGCTAAAAGCAACAACAACTTATTCTAATATATATATATATATATATGTGAGAGAGCCCTTTCGGGTCTATTTTGCGTATCCTCTTACTTGCCTTCTATTTAATTAATTTAATTAATTTAATTAATTGAATTAATTCATTGAATTAATCGAAATCGACAAATTTCTTTTGCGAATTCAATTAATTTAATTAATTGAATTTATTGAATTAATTGAATTCGAAAAACCTCTTTCGCTAATTCAATTAATTCAATTAATTCAATTAATTGGATTAATTGAATTAATTGAATTAATTGAATTCGAAAAAGCCTCTTTCGCTAATTCAATTAATTCAATTAATTCAATTATCTAAATTTTTTCAAAACAAAGATTTCCCCCCTATTGAATTAATTCAATTAATTCAAATTAATTCAATTAATTCAATTAATTCAATTAATTCAATTAATTCAATTAATTCAATTAATTGAATTAGTTGAATTAAATGAATTGCGAAAAGCCTCCTTCGCTAATCCATTAATATCAATTAATTCATTAAATTGAATTAATTTGACATTAATTGAATTAATTGACTTAATTGATTAATTGAATAATTGAATAATTGAACTTACTTGAATTATATGAATTAATTGAATTAATTGAATTACTTGAATATTGACTTAAATTATTATTGAATATTGCCATTATTTTCAATACGCGGGAAAATTCCGGAGTTTCGATTAGAGAAGCCCCCATAATTGAATATCCAATTGAATAATTGAAATTCGACAAAACCTCTTTCGCTAATTCAATGAATTTCAATTCAATTCCATAATTGATATTAATTGAATTAACTTGATTCGAACAAAAAACCCTTTCGCATTCACTTAACTTCCATTAGTTCATTACTAATTTTGTTCAAACACAGACTTCCCTCCTATTGAATTAATTTCAATTTAATTCCATTAATTCAATTATTCCATTAATTCAATTAATTCCAATTAATTCATTAACAATTAAATCAATTATTCAATTAATTCCAATTAATTCACTTAAATATCAATTAATTCAATTAATTAAATTATTCATTAATTGAATTAATTCAATTAATTCAATTAGTTCAATTAATTCAATTAATTCAATTAATTCAATTAATTCAATTAATTCAATTAATTCAATTAATTCAATTAATTCAATTAATTCAATTAATTCAATTAATTCAATTAATTCAATTAATTCAATTAATTCAATTAATTCAAGTAATTCAAGTAATTCAATTAATTCAATTAATTCAATTAATTGAATTAATTGAATTAATTGAATTAATTCAATACGCGGGAAATCCGGATTTCGATTAGAGAACCCCACATAATTGAATTAATTGAAATAATTGAATTCGAAAAACCTCTTTCGCTAATTCAATGAATTCAATCAATTCAATTAATTCAATTAATTGGATTAATTGAATCAATTGAATTCGAAAAAGCCTCTTTCGCTAATTCAATTAATTCAATTAATTCAATTATCTAAATATTTTTCAAAACAAAGATTTCCCCCCCTACTGAATAAATTCAATTAATTCAATTATTTCAAAGAATTCAATTAATTCAATTAATTAAAAATAATTCAATTAATTCAATTAATTCAATTTCAATTAATTCAATTAATGCAGTGATTCAATTATTCCATTTATTCAATTAATTCAAGTAATTGATTTAGTTGAATTAAATTGAAATTCGAAAGCGCCTTCGCTCATTCAAGTAATTCAATTAATTCATTTATTTCCAAAGGGGAGGTGGAATTAATTGAATTAATTGAATTAATTCAATTATTTCAATTAATTCAATTAATTCAATTAAAATTCAATTAATTCATTAATTGAATTATTGAATTACTTGAATTGATGAATTGATTGAATTAAGTGAATTAAATTGATTAATGATTAATGCTTTTAATTGAAATTAATAATTATTGCTTAATATTGAATTAAATTGATTAAGCAATTACCGGGAAACCGGATTTCGATTAGCGAAAAAACCCCCATAGGAGTTATTGAATGTAATTGAATTTCGAAACTAAACGCCTTCGCTAATTTCAATTAATTGAATTAATTGAATTAATTCAATTAATTCAATTAATTCAATTAATTCAATTAATTCAATTAATTCAATTAATTCAATTAATTCAATTAATTCAATTAATTCAACTAATTGGATTAATTGAATTAATTAGATTAATTGAACTAGTTGAAGGGTCCCTAATATGAGTTATCATAATTATGATAACTTTAAGGTCCCCAGTCTGAGTTATCATGATTATGATAACCTTAGGTTCCCAAACCTGAGTTATTATAATTATGATAACTTTAGGTTCCCAAACCTGAGTTATCATGATTATGATAACCTTAGGTTCCCAAACCTGAGTTATCATAATTATGATAACTTTAGAGTCACCAACTGGAGTTATCATAATTACGATAACCTTAGGTTCCCAAACCTGAGCTATCATAATTATGATAACTTTAGGTTCCCAAACCTTAGTTATCATAATTATGATAACTTTAGAGTCACCAACTGGAGTTATCATAATTATGATAACTTTAGAGTCACCAACTGGAGTTATCATAATTATGATAACCTTAGGGTCCCACCCCTGAGTTATCATAATTATGATAACTTTAATTCGCAGCTTCACCTTAAGAGAGAGGTGCGCGAATAGGGAGGTGTAATATTAAGTGATTGTGTGCTGCAATATGGAGTAGATGAGGTGTGAGCAGGTAGGTGTGCGGGACGATGGAATAAGGATGGTTGAGTAGAGGGATGAAGCGTTGAGCTCAAAATCTTAGGGACCATGGCTTGCGATTTGACTCCTTGCAGCAAAAAAGGAGCCTAAAATCTTAAGGACCAGGGCTTGCGATTTGACCATTCTGGGCAAAAATAGAACGCAAACTCTTAGGGAACAGGGCTTGCGATTTGACTCTTTTGAGCAAAACATTAACCCAAACTCTTAGGGACCAGGGCTTGTGATTCGACTCTTTCGAGCAAAACATGAGCTACAAATCTCAGGGACTAGGGCTCGAGAATTGCAAAGGACCGCCGCGATACTCCAACAACGTGCTCTTCGAATTTGGAGGAGACAGTCGACTTGAACTACACATACGCTATGCTTGTACATAAACTTGCAGTGTTCACACGGATTCATCATCAAAGCGACATTTGCACGAAGCAGAATACAATTACACCACAGCTGTTTAGCATCGTAGAGACTCCGAACCTGTCACCGCGTCCACCGAAGAATGGCGAAGGTTTCCCGCGAGGCTCTTGTCCAACGACACAAAAGAGCGAAGGCGAACGCAAGGGCCATCAAGGCGGAGATGCGGACAGTTTGGCTGCGCTGGCTCAAACGCTTCACGAAGGCGACGCGCAAGGCCGAAGCAGCCAGGGCCAAGGTATCAGACGCTGGTTTCCAAGATATCAGCGACTCGGAGATTTCTTCGTTAAGCGGCTTCGAGACTTCATCATCTGGTGACTCTAGCAGCAGTTTATCCGCAGAAGAAGCACCCATTGACACCGCAGCTCCTGCGCCTGTTGGAAAGCAAAGGCCGAGACCCCCCCCGAAGGCAAAGGCTAAGGGCCCCCCTGCACGTCCGTGTAAGGCGAACGTTGCGAAGCCCCCCCCCCCGAAGAGGCCAGAAGCTGCGCCAGTGCCTAAGGCACCTAGCAGCAAGCGCATTCAAGATGCAGATGGCATTTTTTACCCAGGGTTTGATGACAAAAATCACCCTAAGTACAGTGGTGCATGCGACCAGCTTCTGCGTGGGTATGTCAGAGCGACTGTCAGCCACAAGCCTACGTGCGAGCGGCGGCAGCGGAAGGTGCCCGCCAAGGGAAAAGCTGCTGCAAAGCAGGAGTCCTAGAATCTCGCGTCGTTTCAAAAAAGTATCTGCAGTGTCCCTGCCGTTCTTAAGCTGTAACTCCAAGCAATCAGTAAATTATACAACTCGCAAAATTTCTTCTGTGACTTGGCAGGCAAGAACCACTACATGTCCGAGAAGGACACCGCGGCGTGATTCAGACTGTAACGGCTAAGCAACACTAGTTGTAATACTAGTTGTGACCGTTTGCTGGCATGTAAAAGCATCGAAATACTGGCGAACGACTCGCATAAGAACACAACGCGCACCGCACACTATGGCTTGCTTTTTTAATATTTTATAAGCTTTTATTATCTTTGCTATCGTTTATTCACATACGGTGCAAGTAGCAGGCGATTCGATGCAAACACAACGTAATACGCCGCAAAAAAAATTGCACGGCGTCTGTCTCCATATACAACATTCACAATAGAATCACCGCAACAATAACAAATAACTGAAAAGGCAGCGATGATATATAGCTGTACAGATGCCCGTCCGCTACAGGTTACCTTAAGCCTGCGACATCTTGTGGCTGACGTTTTTGAACGTACAAAGGAGCGAGCGCGTGGCCTATGTCATCCGCGCCTTTATATTATATCCTTATAGCGGTGCCATAGTACATCTCGAGTGTATTTCATAACATGTTACTTTTAAGTTACTGTACTATACTTATAAACACCAGACATAGCATTCGGAGGCGTATTGCTCAGTGTTAGCAACTACTCCAACCAGATTATTATTCATGACTGCTTTGCATTTCTGAGCTTCCAAGGTATGCTAACAAGGATTCGGTCAATATTAACATACCTTATGTGTTCGTGTAATAAATAAAAAGATAAAGTCTTGAAGTTGAGCACTACCCATATATCTTTAAGCCAAAGACGCAGCCTGCCGAAAGCACTTATTTGCAGTGCATTGTTTGAACATTCCATTTTAAAATTTCCTGGTTCCGCCGGGAAAAAAAATCGTTGCTTTGCGCTTGCATGGCTGTTTATCATGACTGACGACAATCCGTCGCGTATGAGCTCAAGTGGCTTGTGCCAAATCACGAAATCTTCGCGCGCCTTTGTCGCATGAAATAAGCTCTTATGTCGATGCTGATG